GGGACTTCATTCGGGCCAGCTCGGCCCGGCCCGGCCGTACCTGTGGCCGGTGGTAGCGTTGCCCTGTGAGGCGTGGGGCAGGGCCCTTCCCCGCCTCTCCGTGCTTGCTCCCTGTGAGCAGGTGTGGGGCGGGAACGAGCTACGGTGTAGGCTGGGGAGGAGGGAGGGAGCCTTCCATTACCTGGTGTCTCGGGGGGAAATCTCTGGGGTAGTAATCATCCAAGCACGCTGAGAACAGAGCATCAGAACAGAAGGCAGGCTGAGAACAGGAGGTGGGTTTGTTTTTTCATTTCTTCTCCTCCTGTTTCCCCCTTTTCCCTTGCTTTTTCTCAAGTTTTTGCCGTGGCATAGAGTTTTAGCCTGTCACTAAGCTAAGGAACAGTGAGTGGACCGAGGAGGAAGAGTGAAGGACGTGTGGGGAGAAATGCCAAAGATAAAAGGACTGTATTTTCTGCAAAGTACAGAAACTGTATTTTACTGTAAAGAAAACAACTACTTTCATGGGGATGAACTGTATAGTATCTGAGGGTGCATAATATCTGTTTTTGAAATACAAACAGATTAAAGCATTTGGAAGGCTGGTGGATTATTTTTGTCTGCCGGGTCCTAATATCATATATAAAAGAACTTGAGTATCCGAAGAAGGACCCGTGTTGTGTTAGGTAAAGTACCTTTTAAAGCCAAGACCTTTACACTTTTGTAGTCTGACGCTTTCTGTTGAAACAGGATGAAAGTAGTGCAGGAGTTCAAGTCTGTCTGGAGAGAGCTTGTTGCAAGCTCTACATAAATGAGAGGTGTATGGAAAAGTACAGTTGGTTCTGTGGTACTCTTAAGTGAAAGTTAGTGATGAAACCGGGAGCTGTTGCTTTTACACTAATTTTACTGCTGTGTTTGGCATAGGAAAAGGAAAATATAAAATCACGGATTCTTTTTTTACTTTTCATTACTGATTCCCTTAAGCACAATATATTGATTGTTGTTCTTAGGAGGACCTTCGCGTAGATGGTCGTGGCTGTGAAGACTACAGATGTGCAGAAGTAGAAACCGATGTTGTATCAAACACAAGTGGATCTGCAAGAGTAAAGCTGGTTGGTAAATTTCTTAGGGATCACGTACCTTGCTCATGAGACTTCTGGTTTATGTGACTAGTTTTAAGATAAGCCAAGACTATTTGTAGATGCATTTGTGTGCGTGTGTAATAAGATGTGTGTAATAATAGCACTAACTGAAATTATGGGTTAAGGAAATAATGACAGGATATATAATTCATTCAGGCTGGCTTAACCTACTTGAGCTAGATTTAATGTGAAGTACCTGAAAAGCCTTTAATCTGAACTAATCTACCATTTAATCGTGAAAAAATGAAATTGCTGTTGTGCCTAATCACTGGAAAAAATAATTCTGTTCCTTTAGAGTGAAGCAAAACTACTTCTGGCATGTGTTGACTGTGAACAAGATAAATATACTGTGCAATATTATAAAGGTTCTGCAGATACAGCTGTTTTCAGAACCAAAATGATAGAAAAAGTCATGGATATGAAGAGTGTCTTTTTAACCTAGAGAAAGCTAATATGTATGGTAATTATCCGAAGAAACTTCTTAGGCTTAACGTTGTTCTTCTAAAGCCTTTCCTTTTCTAAAAAAAACTAATGTGGTTTTAAGTTCATTCTGACAGAATGATGGGTGCAGATAACTGAAAGGTAGAAATGTCAGCTTACCATAGACACTTAAATTAAACAAGTAGTTTTGTGAATATATTTCTAGTTGTGTGGTATGTTTTTGTTTTAACAGGGACACACTGATATCTTGGTAGGTGTAAAAGCTGAAATGGGGACACCAAAGTTGGAGAAACCAGATGAAGGTTACCTGGAATTCTTTGTTGACTGGTTAGTATACTAGAAGAGAAGGAAATAGATCTAATATTTGGAATAAATGACTAATCAAGTCTTACCATTCTTCTGAAGTTTATACCTTCATTCCACTAACCCCCCATAAGGGTCTGAGCAATAGAAACAAGTTATTCTACTGTTTCAATAGTGGTGAATGTTCAGAAACTTTCTGCTGGTTCTGCAGACCCAAAATAGGCAAAAAAAATAGGAGTTAAAGAATGAAATCAGGTTAAAAAAAAATCCCAAATTGCATAGCATCACTGCAGCTGGAAAAGACTAATGGTTCAATTGCACATGGGTTTAACATGACTTCATGACTACAATGTCATGTGTCTTTTTTACAATTATAGAATTACTTTGTCTTTGAAAGCAGTGGAAAAAGTTTGAAGTGTGTTTTGTACAAAACCGCTTGTTTAAAAACAAATCCTCACTGTAAACTTCAGATGCAAAAGTTAATTAGAAAGTTTAGTTATCATATTTATCGTTGAATCAGTGTTTCATTAACTGAAAGGGTATTTGTTTTTAATCATATTCCTGGCTTCCTGCTACAAATGGACTGTTGCTTATCCTTACAGTCTTCATAGTGCCTGATGTATGAAGGAAGCTAGAAGAAAACTGAGAGCTCTTGTTTTCAGGTTGATCTGAGTTAGCATAGTGACATCTCAATGTTATTCCAGACTGTCTGCTGTCTGAAACTACAGTATCCATATCTTGCAGACTTCCTAAAACTGTTATTTATAAAATAACGTGCTTTGGAAACCTCTCATAAAAGCCTTGGCACTGTCAAGTTAGCTGTTTTGCATGTGACCTTTTGTTTTATTTTTATTAAAAACAAAAAATGCTGCTACTCTGACATTAAACCAATATACCGTTAGTAAAACTACGGTATGACAGCTACTAAGTGTATATCTGATAATCTTTCTGACCTAAGTGGCTGTATCTGCCTTAACGTTTGTAACTCTCTCACATTATGCAGCCTTTTCTAAGACTGCCTCTATACATCACAATGTACTAGTTAACTGTGGAAACTTATGGTTTGTAGAGGGAAGGACTCACCTATGAATTAATGATTTGTCTATGATTACTGTTCAAAAATATCAGACAGGAAGATGGTCTTCTCAAATGTGGCCCTGCTGTTAGAGGGGATCTGAGCTTGACTACTTTATAAAACTTGTGTATAAAATATCCTAAATAGTACCTGCTTTGTCCTGGTGGTTTCTATGTAAAGAAAGTCCAATGACAGCAGGGACATTTCCTTACTAAAACAAGTGGTCTGTGGGGATGTTGCAATTCTGTGACACTTCTTTCATATGTCAATAAATGTTAGAAAAACTTTAACTCATTAGATTAATGTTAGGTTGTATTTTCTAACTGTTAATCTCTGTTTCATAAGAAGATGGGAGGGAGATGTGCAGCAATATTGTGCAAGTTGGATCTTGTCAGTTCTGGAAATAGGTAATCTTTACATTCTGTGGCAACACAGACCAAAAGCCTAAATTTTTGAGAAGGGTAGTCACTTCTCACATGCTTGTGCAGCCAGGGAAAGGTGACCTCTAGCTTCCAGAAAGATCCAAAAGACAAAACGTGAAGTGGGAGCAGCTTGTTCTCTGTAAAAGGAAATGAGATGCTCTCAGTACTCTGATGCTTTTCCAGGCTGCCACTGGGTGGTAGTAACTGAGCATAGTTTGATCCACTGTGTCTCGTGGTGAAGATCTGTGTGTTCTACTTTGCTTTTTTATTGTTGAAACTAATAATAAAAACTCAGCCTGCAGTGTTAGCTATGGTTTCTGATACTGCTGAAAATAATCGCTTGCTGGATCATGTATATAATTCTCTGCCCCAAAACTCTGTTTCTCTTTATTCTGCTCTGAGTTCTTATCCTGAAATCTGAGAAGCACTTTGAGACAGACTTTAATGCTAGTCTCTGGAAGAGATGATTTTTCGGGCACTGATTTGTGATACTAGAAATTAATTATCATAGAATAAAGTCCATGTCCTATGTGATGTCCATACTGCCCATCAGCACTGGAGAAGACAGTAATCCTGGTCATTGATGTTGAAAGACTGCTGTGTCTGCTTTTCTCATGTTTGAGTTTTGGGGCTGTTCTAATACTGAATTGTTAGGGTTTTTTGGTTTTGGTTTTTGTTTTGTGGCTGAAGCAAAGATTTATAATTTTCAAAGTGTAAGAAATTAAAAAAAAAAGCAGACAAATGTGAATTCCTGAATTTTTTCTGTGGAATTAGGGAAGCAAGGAATATATTTGTCCAAGTCTAGCCATCTGTTCCTCCGCTTTGAAGTCCAGACATGTTTTTTGTTCCAGCTGGAAGAATGTTTCAGTGGTGCCTGCATGGAAGACTGGTTCAGATATGATCTTAAATATTATAGATGGAAAGCAGTTCTCCAGATCATAAGAGATGACAGTATTGCAGAACAACCATATCAGCATGCTCTTAGGCGATCCTCAGATACTGTACTATTGGGTTTTGTGGGGAAAATGTTAATTTAAAACAAATTTCAGTGCAGTCACTAAAGATATCACTTGAATAGTGGCTGCAGAAAAGGAGCCTTTCCTCCCCCTCTTGCCCCTACCATAAACCTGTTATCATGGCAACTACTCTTTGCAGAGGCAAAGTAATGAGTTTTGAAAGAATGAAATGTCTTTACCATTTTTTACGGTACTTCTTCCATTAAAGGTGCTCTTTAGTGGATTTAGCTTGGTTTTCAGAGAGAAATTCCATCTAATGTTTGAGTGAAAACTGTTTCAAACTCTATAAGCAGATGTTCCTTTCAGATGGGAAGTGTAGTGACAGTGCCTGACCAGGCAAAGACCTGAATCAGTAAATCCATGTTGGTAGAGTTACCAGTTTGACTAGACTAAATCCAAACCCTTGTTAGCACAATTCTTTGTAGGGTCATGAGCTTGAATATCATAATCATATTAACACAGTTAGACAGCATCTGGACCTGAATTCAGGGCTATCTGTGTGTCATAAACATTATGTCTTCTGGCTGCTTTCTGGACGGGTAGAATATTAGTGAGGTGGTTAACTTACTGCTGGTTCTGAAACAGTGAATCTGCCTTCTTGTTTTAAATGATTGTGTGCTTCTTTGGGTGCAAGAATAGAAAGCTGGTATTGGTTGCTTGAAGTAAATATGGCTTTAAGTGAAGAATATCCTCTGTGTAATGAAGCCTTTGTATACCAGCAAAATAGCTGTAAGCTTTTGTTTAATTAACTGTTTTATCTCTGTTATAATTACTTAATTGTCGATTATAATATATTAATGGCCTGAGCAATGGATGGGAAGTACTTAACGACTGTGAGAGAAAGGTTTTGACTGCTAACATCAAGGGTTTTGAAAGTAGAGATCTGTGGTAGAAGCCTCACTGTGCTTTAGGAGTTTTGATTGTTATGCGATGTGACACTGAAATGGTTTTGAAAGTCTTTAAAATTACATTCTGTTCAGGAGTAGAAATTCTGTGCTCCACTTGGCAACTACTAAGTTCTTTCTGTGCTCCATAAAACAAACTTTTTGGCATTTTCTTTTATGAGTGTGCTAGACAACCCTTTTTTGAATTTTACCCAACGTAAATTACTGCAAGTCTGTGAGCATTGGGTGGCAGTATTTACCATATAGTTATTATAATAGTAACCTGCTAACATTTTTTCTTTTCACTTTGATTGCAAGGGATTGAAGTGTTAAAATAATAATGGAATTAAGATGCAGTGAAACTTGCAATAATATTCCAATTGAGTCTTACGTTCTTACTCGCTGTCAAAGACAGCGTCCATTTATAATTAAAAACTACAACATTTGATAAAACTTCATGTTTAGACATAATAATGAGGTATGGACTGAGGTTTGTATAATTCTTTTCAACTTATCATAGGAATCATAATGCTTGCATAACCATACTTTAAACAAGATGGTTTAAACAGAATGATCTAGTTAACTTGCATAAAAGCTGCTTCCATAGATAAGTGCTTGTTTAATACAACCTAAAGGCTTGACTTAGCATATTTCCAAAGCTAAGTTATACTTGATATGGTTCTATCTTACAAAATTATTGTCCAATATTAACGTAACTGCAAATAATAGTATGTGACACTTGCAGCACTTACTCATGCGGCAAGTGTAGTTTGGAGACATAGGTCCGTGCTTGATTGGCAGTAATTTATTTATTTTTTTAAGGCTGTATAGTGCTGTCTGGTTATAGAAGCAGCAAATAGCTTCTATAAAATTCAGTAGCTCTTCCTGGCATTCTGAGTTTTCATCAGTTCTGCAAAAGAACAAGTTGGGAGAATTACTGTGAGGTAAGGATTTCCCTTATAGGGGCTGCAGTCTTGTTGATACAGCTCACTTGATGGTTTAAGTGATACCTAGATAATGTGGATCTTTAGTTGTTTTTTTAAAAGTAAAGGGATTGTATTCCAAGACTTTGTTTTCTGCTGTATGTTTGCCTGTGGTGTTCCTGTTGGAAGGGCTAAGAGTTTGTATCATCGTATAAATACAAAACATACATGAGAAATTGGCCAGGAGAATACAAGGCTTTGCTGTTACAGATTTTGAACATATCAAGCTACTTCTGTGGAACCAGCTCCTTTCCTATGTTCTGTAATGATAAATTAATTTGGGGGAGGTCTGACTAGTTTATTTAAAAACAAGATCTGCAATCTGTGCCACAGGTCCCCTGCTTGAGAATGCTCTTGCCCTCCCTATAAACCAGAGGTTGGGTTCAGAGTATTTGTTATTTTGCTGTGTATGCATCTCTGGACATTTCTGCTCTATTTCATTGTGACTTGGAGGTGGGTTTTTTTTTTTTGCTTGGTTGGTTTTTTGTGGTGTGGGGTTTTTTTTTTTGGTATGCCTGTTTTCTTTTATTGTTAGAATTTTGTTCTAAGCTGTGTACAAGGCCTCAGCACCCAAGGACTTTCTTGCATGACTGGTCGTAAACAAAGTTTGTTATGTTGGAATCGGGGAAGTGAAAACCACACGCTTTTGTCAGATCCCTTCTGGAAAAAATGTTCTTTAGTTGCTGCTCTCCATAAGCTGCAGTTGCTGAAAATAATGAGCTGCTGTCTGTAAGTGGCTTGATAGCAGAGAGTACACTCACTAAAGAAATAACCAATTAAGGTCAGGCAGTCATGTCACTTCAAAAAAAATGCATATTCTGCTCATCATATTGTCACATCTTTCTCTTCTTAGCCACTCTCTTATCTTATTAATTTAACATTCAACTCTAACAGGCTGTCTTGTTAGCTGTTCTGAACTTAGTACAGATTTCTGTCACTTTTTTATTTTTGAAAGGGTTGAGATGATAGAAGATGAGAATGCTTAAGAAATAATCCCTGAGAGAATTGACCAACTTTAATGTTGTAACTTGGGAACTGAAGATAGTACTGGAATTTAATTAGTATCAGAGTTTGTAGCAAAATGTAGGTATATTATCTGCATCAAGACATTTTCTTATGCAAAATGGAAATAATTTCTTTACAGATAGGATGCTTATTCTTGTACAAATAAATCCTTAGATATTTCTAATGCTTTATATTTAAGAAATGTTCTTTGGGTCTTGGCTGCTTCAGAAGTGAAAGATTTTTTTTTTTTTTTCTCTTTATCTAGTTCTGCAAATGCTACTCCTGAATTTGAAGGCCGGGGAGGAGAAGAACTTGGCACGGAGATAGCAAATACACTCTACAGAGTATTTAGCAGCGAGAGCAGTGTAGACCTGAAATCACTTTGTATTAATCCCAGAGAGCACTGCTGGGTTGTCTATGTTGATGTATTGGTAAGTAAGGAAATGAAAACTAAGACTCAAGGGGGTTTTTCAAGGCACTGACTGACTTAGCATAACCATATGTATTTTCATCTAAAACGAGCTTCTCATAATGTGATATGGATGGCCATTTTCATGTGAATCTAGCTATAATAGTTAATCACTACTTCCAGCTTGCTCTTTTTCTACTCTTCTTGATGCCGCTGCTCCACTGCAGAGCTAATAAAACACTGAATACTCCAAATCTGTCTCAGATAAAAATCAGTGACCTTACACTGACAAGGAAATTGCCACTAAAGAAGGCTAAACTTTTTTCCAAGCTAGATATAACAGCAAATGTATCATTCTAATGAATGTAAGTTAGCATGGGTGTATGTTAGCCCTAACATAACTGTCCATCCTGTCTACCTCTTTGCACTATTATCAGTATTAATTCAGTAAAGTAAAATGGAAACTTTTCTGGCAAAAGTTATGTTTGGCCTAGGCACTTTTTGATGCAAGTAGTATACATGTATTGAATGTAGAAGAGGAACTGAATATTTGTTCCCATTAAAAAATGGAAACTGAATTTTATGCATAGAAATTTTGTGCATACAGCAGCTCAATTTCCAAACTATGCTGTATTTAAAGCACTGTCATGGGATTTTAATAGAAGTCTGCAAATCAGGCTCTCCTGAGCATTATTTCCAGTTCTTATTCGTCCAAAGTTAAGTTTCTATTTGTCAAATTTGTAACTGAAAATATGTTGAGGGATCTTACTCACAGGAATCCATTAATGTCTATGAAATGATTTGCAAAGTGTTAAGCTGTATTGCTAAAAAAACCACAAATACAGGGTTTTGTTAAACAAAACAGGAACATTCAGACTAAGACCTAAATAAATGTGAAAATTAGTCCATTAGGTGTTTAAAAAGCAGTAGCATTAGCCTAATTATAGTAGATATGGCACATACCGTGACTTAGTCTGCATACAGAATGATCAAATATATACCACTGCTGAGTGTTATATATATTTAACAGTCCTAGTCACCAGCTTAGTGGAGCTTGTCATAGTTTAATAGAGAACAAAGTGTTAGTTCTGAGAAATCACACTGGGGCCTTTAGTCAGTAGGTAATTACAAGCAGAGGTACAGAATATTAAATGTTGTGCTTATGTACTGCTTAACATTTCATAAACACCGCATAAGCAAAGACTTTCATAAAGCTGACTGTTGCAGAAGTAGTTCCGTATAGCTTTTGTATGAGGTATAACTGGTCATTATTTGTTGATTGTCCACAGCTACAGAGAAAAACAGCCTTGGTATTTTTATGCTACTAGTTGTATCAGAATTATGAGCGTCAAGACCTATGTTATGTGATGAATTTTACATTTAGCTTTGTTTGTAGTACCAATAAAGAATCTGTTGTAGGTTTATAATTAGGGCTCTAAACTTGATGAGTCTTTTTAATGTCATATTCTTCAGGGATTTTGTGTGTGAGCCATTGAAGAGCTGCTGGTATAGTTAGAACAAGATACTGTTAACATTTGTCTCTTATTCTGTTCCCCCTCTCTGTTTTTTTTTCCACCCCAGACCTCTGTATTTTCACATTTTTGCGGTATTTGTACTATTTCCTTTTCTAAATAGAAGACATTTATGTCACATGTGATAGTTTATAGTTGATGTTGGTGCTTGATACCTACAGATTTTCCTGAAGCCGCTCTTGCTGAATCATTCCTATAGAATCCTATTTTAATAATACATGGTGGAAGCATGACGCTTTTGCTAATGTAAGGTACTACAAGTCATATCATTCATCAGTTGAGGCAGGCAGATTCTAAATACAATAACAATACTTATTGAGAGTCCTTTGGATGATGTTTTCCTTCAGAATTCCTGGAAATTGTTCACATTGGTGTTTGTGTTCATAGGTAAGTTGGAGGGAAAATAAGCCTAAATCTGTCGTAAGCCTGAAACTACTGCTGGTACATTGTGGTCAGGTGGGATGGTACATTGTGGTCAGGTGGGAAGGTACTTGTTTCAAGTCTCTCATTCCGAAAGACAAAAACCCAGAAAGGATGTTATGAACCTGGAGATACTGCATTGCTGTGTAATTTAGCCATGCGCACTTTCATCAAAGCATCTATATTCAGCTCCTACGTGTAAAGAAAATTTGAGATACGCAACCTCAAAAGAGAAGACGGTGTATTTTGCATAGTCGTGCAGCTTATTGATTAAAAACATCTCTCCAATATTTTTCTAGTGGTTGGTGTACTTGGGAGGTGCTATAATTGTGTACAGTCAGACTGGAAAGAAAATAACTTAAACTATACACACTACAAAGATGCAGACATATGGACACTTATAGATATGTGTCAAAGGTCAAGAATATATACCTCGAACTTTCAAAATACATGGATTCTTTCTTAATAATAGAAGGCGTTCCACTTCCAAAGAGTAGCTCGTGAATGTGGAGATACATGGTACTGCAAAATTATAAGCCTGTTCCCACCATCTCTGTCTATCCCTCAATTTCTTTCCCCTTCTAAGTCATTGATGTCAGAAATAAGCTTTTAGGCATTTTTGAGGGTGTTTTTGATACATGTAGAGCCTTCTCCACATAATTTGCCCCTGCAGTGCTGAGCAAGGAGAATCAAAGTGTGCAATCTCTTTTCATTCCCTACCCAATCACAGTACATTGTGAGTTGGGGGGGGTGCATTGGGTTCTGTTGAAATTTTAGCAATTCACTACTGAGCATCCCTCAGAGGATTTCCTCATCTTTTCTATTCCCCCCCAGTTTGGAAAAAAAAAACACCCACAAACTGGAAATCTGTCCTTTTGGGGGAAAAACGTCATTGAATAAAGCAAGGTTTACAATGTTTCCTCTTTTTTTCCACCCCCAATAACTTTTTCTTTTGTGTATCGGTAAATTAAAAGCAGTCCTTTCTAAAGACTCCTTTGCTTCTCACAACTCACAGTTGTGCAGATTTTCTTAGTCCTTAAAAAAAAAGAAAAAAGAAAAAAAAGAAAAAAAGGGGGATCTCAGTACAAGGTGCTTCAGCTGAGAAGAGAGTGTTCATTTCTTTTTGGAGGAATTGTTGTACCATGCTTGATACACGCTGTGTTCCTAGCCTGTAGGTGCCACTGTAATACAGATAAGGCTTTAGAACAGCAGCCTGAACATAAGCGAAGCAATAGTACAGGCACATCCCATTATTGTGTTTTAGTAACAAAGATATTGTGGGGCTTATTGTGTTATCCAGTAAAATCCAATAATGACTGAAAGTGGCAATTTAACCTCTCTGTATCCAGCAGCTGTTTGGAAAGAAATAATTTGATCACCTTTGTATTTAGCTTTCTATCCCAACTTTTTGTCATTCTTTTTACACAATTCAGTCTGTCTTCATAAAAATAAACTGTCTTTCCAGAATATCTGATTTATGATTCACTCCCAGTGCGGGAGTTTATCTCATTCTTAAATAGATTTTGAAGAACAATCAATGCAATCAGTGTTGCAAAACTTGTTTTGCTCTCATCATACAGCATAGATTGATGTAGTGGAGAAGCATCCATATGTTCTCGCTGAAGTAGTTGCAAATGCTTGCTGGGGATGTGTGTGTTCATAGAATAGTACTGGCAGCTCAGAGTGGAGCTTGTCAGAGAACTAACACTAGACCATGGCCAAATACATCTTTGAGTTGTCTGTCAGCCTATAGAAGGTATTGGTGGTTATGGGAGCCCTGCCTTTTTATGTAGTGTGCAGTGCTGTTCTTCTCCTGATCTTCATGGGAAGAAACTAAGCTAGACTCCCTCCACACACTTTAATTCAAAGGATAGGGTTATCAACAAGTAGACTTTGGCATCAGGATTTCCTTAGATCCTTTTCAGCTACAAGACAAACCTGCTGATGACTCCTTTTCCATGAAGAATGGGAAATAAATCATGATGTGCCTTCATAACTATACCTTGTATAACTAGCTTTTCGTACCATGTTCTGGGTGACAATTTGTGTTGCTTCTTGGAAAACAATTCTACCAATTGGGTTTGTCCAGCTGATATTTTAAAAAGACTTCTCTTTGAAATAAAGTATAGAAAATGGATTGTGTTGATTTAACATCGAAGAATGAATGTGGTGAGTTTATAAAAAATATTCTGGTTATAGTCTAGTTCAGAGCCTTAGCACAAGAAAATTAAGAACAGTGGTTTCATTTCAGCTGCTATTATTAAATTCTATCATTAACTTTATTATAAAGTGTGTTAACTCTTCTGTTTTGCGTGTACAATACAGTTAGCTGAAATCTTAATTTCCTAGCTGTTGTTTATTTTCATAGATAGGCTTTAAAGACAACTTTGTTTTTTAAAAACCTGTTCTGGTTCTTAATTTTGTGCTGTTTCAAGTAGGTTTAAGTGAAATAAAGACTTGGTTTAAAGGCACTAGCCTGATTTTCTTTTAAAGAGATTCTTTTTTTCCTCCCCAGTTATTGGAATGTGGTGGGAACCTCTTTGATGCAATCTCTATCGCAGTGAAGGCAGCTCTCTTTAACACAAGGTAAAGCACAGATCTCATTTCATGTGAGTGGAAGCGCCATGGGAAGTGAAAGAGAAGTACTCTCTGTGAGCTAAGCATTTTTAATACTTAATTATTTAAATAAGAAATACCCAAGGCAACTTGCATTCAGATTCAAGGCAGTCCGTTTGCACGCAAGTAACATGAACTAATGACTTTAATTCAGTTTCTAATAATCAAGTGTCATATTGCATTATATGCACAAGGAGGCTCACCGTATAACTTTTGTTCTGTAGCCAGATGCAGAAAAAATTGTCTTGACCATATGGTTGTTGCAAGTAGTTGGAGGCCCTTGTATTGATCCCTTGTGGGTTTAAAATAAGAGGTATTTACTGATATGTGATGCTCCTGAATAAGAAGCCCTCTGTCATTGTGACCACTGATTTGTAACTAGCCCTGTTTTCCCTCTTCTGATGTTCTTTCTTATTAACTGTTAGTCTAGGGTTCTTTTTAAAACTAAGAGGAAAAAATGGTGGTGAGAGATTGTGGGGAGGGGGAAATGATGTATCTTTAAAAGAACTTTGCCCCTTGCATTTTAATTCAGAGAATGGAAGAACAAAATCTGGTAGAATGAATGATGCAAGTGCTCTATGTGTGTTTTAATGGTAACATTCAATAATATTTTTTCTAATGTTTTAATCTTCTTGATCTGTAGATAAAAGGGAATACAGAGTTTTCTAGCACCCTTGAGAAAGAAATTAGTGAATGGCTTTTCTAAAAAACTTGTGTCGCAAAAGTAGCTGGAGGAGATGCAAAAGTTAGACTCTTACAGGCATAAATGTTTTGAAAGTGGATCTCAAATTGTTCTTCAGCTGTAAATTAGAGATCTGCTAAAGTCACTGGCATAGTTCTGGCTTATTCATCAGGGAATCAGTGCACAGTCCTAGAGCTGGAAAAGTACGTGCAAGAAGAAAAGGAAAATACGCTTTTGAAGACAGGCAGTATATGACGGTATAAACACTTTAAAAGGGGATAAGGGGAGAATCCATCTAAGACAACAACTTGTATATATTGCTGAGAAATTTCCCGTGTTAGTCAAGTTCTCAACAGTAACTTTTAACAGTAGATTTTGTAGCATTAAGAAATATTGTCACAAATGTAACAGCTCACAAAAGAGTGACAGTACACTAAAGGAAGAAATGCCTATGTATCTGTGTGTGAGCTGCCAGGATGCAAAAGTCGTATAGTTAAAACAGTTGCTCCCATGTGAGTTGTTTTGCAGATCCAAGGCATATACTTTATTTACAAGATAACTAGGTCTTTTTTCTTATTTCATCCAGAATCCTAGTTCTGAATAAAGAGAGAAAATCATATAAAAAGTAATTTAAATAAATAAATAAAAGAAAATCTGTTGCTTTGGGAACATGGGCAGCATGGAGGGTGTAATTGTTTTAACGATCTGCTTTATTTTTATTCTTTGGAAAACTGTATCTTTTGTATAATCTTTAATCTGTGGGCAAGCATCCACAGTCTTTTGGATATCAAATCAAAATGTGGTACAGTATGACATAATGCAGAGCCTGTTGATTTTTGACCTGTGAAAACCCTGTGTATTGATTTGAGCAGGGAATGTTAGTATGTCTAATCTCATACGAGCTTAGAAAATCAAGAGATTAAATTCAAAGTGAAAACCTGTTGTCCTCATTCACTACTCCTCTCCCTTTCCTTTGATATCTGCTAAGTTTTCTTTGGATTGACACAAGGTTGTTTAGAGTAGCTGCCCGCTCTCCATGAAATATTATTGTCCCAGCAAGATAAGATGTCAGTTTGAAGATCACTTCAGATGAAGTGTTCTGAACTTCGCTTGACATGTGTGTCCCTCTTTGAGTCTTACTCGCCTTTCGTAATCTGTTTACAACCAGGTTTTTGTTATAAGTGTTTTCGGATCTTTGTCAGCCTTGACTGCAGCCTTGGAACCAAGAGCAGGGAGCTCAAGCTGCTGTTTTTTCTTTGAAGCTACAAATTTTCAAATGTACAGATAGGCATTTGAAAACCTCAGCTTCATCCTTAAAATCTTGCTCTAACCATTTTTATAATAGCTAGGGACTAAGTAAATGCTTAGTCCCTAGGGCTAAGTAAATGCAAAATTGTAATTTAAGGAATTTTACGCAAGAATTATGGGATTTAAATCCTTTGTATGTCTGACCTGACTCATCGTATCCCCTTCAGGCATGGAGCAATGATAATATGACTGTTTTAGGGGGAACATTTACTCATTGGAGTTTTGTATTCTTCATTATGTTCTAAAAACTATATCAAGATCATGTGCAAAAGATAGCAGATAATCAAACTTGCTTCTTAACTGTGTCTCCAAGGTGCTTAACGCTGGATTTATCCATGATCAAAGTAGATACAGCAAAATGTGCAAGTAGCTACTGTGTCAGGACGTAGCATTAAACTTGATCCTGTGGAATGTGCCTACTTGCAACTGAGGCAACAGAAACTAGGCAAGTTACAAAAGCTACAGAGTTTATAATACAATAGCCTTGCAGATGTCGTGGTTTTTTGCTGGGCAGCATGGTGGAGGCAGAACTGGTGCCTGCCTGCAAGGGTAGAAGTGGTTTTGCAGTTGTGAAATCTGGGTCTGCAGCACACAGAAAATAGCATTGTTTGTTATGTGACTAAGTCCTGCTGTACAGATTTCTGCCCTGATTAGTTGCAGGAATCAAAACAGAAAAATAAAAGTTGCGAAGTAAACATGTACAGCAAGTTCTTAAGATAAATCTTCATAAGCAGGGAGAGGAAATCTCCAGTTTTCTGGAAACGCTCTTTGTGCTATGCTCTCTTTGCCTAGTTTTTCTGTGTATATACCTCTTTTTTATGCAACTATGATGCTTGTGTCTGATCAACTACCTTTTTGCCTCTGCAATAATTCTAATTTATACCTCTCTCATCTATTCTTGGCCAAAACAGCTCTCTGCAGGGATTCTTCAGGTATTAATTCTGGCAACTTTTCTTGCAGACCAAACATTGCTCTGGTTTCATAGCTATTTTAGGGTGGAGTTAAAAATTGCATAATCTCACAGATTTTCTTGAAATCTTCATTCTTTTTTAAGCACTGCTCTGGCACATACACTTCTTGTCTAGGCTGTTGTCCAATGTTCTCCGTTGTCCTGTGTAGCTAGAGGGTTAGTCACCTTGTGACTTTATTCCATCAATTTTTAATGGAGTATTTTTAACTTAAAAACAGGCTTTGATGCATTTCCAATGAGTTGTTATGTAACTCTGGAAAGCATTTTGAGTTTCATTTCAGGAAAAATTACACATCGTAGTTCTGCTTACTGAAAGTTTTATCTTGGCTCAGGCCAATGTTCTTGTAGGGAATTAGTTCTCACTGAAGCAGCGTTAGCTGTTGTGAAGTACTCGCCTCTAGGACTCTTAGCCACAAATAACTAAAATACTTTTCCAGGGAACAAGAAAAATCTCTTTGCCTTGGTGGGGGAAAAGTTCGCTAAATCAATCCCTATCTCCTCCTCTTTTAAAAAAGGTTTGATACAGGACGTGTAAAAGAATGTAATCTCCAGAGTCTAGTTGCAAAACACAACACTACTGTAAAAGTACCAATATAAAAACAGATTGTGGTTACATTCCACATGGTTAGTGAAGTTAGCTTTCTAGGGACGTCTTGAAATATTTTATGTTTTCAAGAGCAAATGTGTAAAAGTGAGAGCAGTGTGATTGAACTGTGTGTGGGTTTTACTGGCCAGTAAAGCAAAGTCTGTCAGTCAGTACTCCATCCTAGTGGGCACCTGGATAAATGAGGGTATATAAGACACTGAGGTTCTTGGCTTCTTGAGATACCATCTTCTCCTAAATTGTTTTAAATGACTTTATTAATTGTGCTAAGAAAGCTGCATTAAATCATCCTGTAAAACTCCCATTGAATGGCTATAACAAATACAATGTATGTGTCACTGATAAGGAGCCTGTCTAGCTCATTTGTGAGAGAGCTTGTCACTCACAATTGAGAAGAAAGCATTTCTTGGATTTCTGCCTGGGTTTGTATCCCTGGTAGTTACTTTTGTATATCTGTCTTTAGGACAGTAGAGACTTCTGGCTTCTTAAAAAATGAGAATATCTTGCCAATCTTCCCATCTTGCTAAAGAGAAAGGATTTTACTAATGTCATCTTTTACCTTTACCCCAAGTCTCCTTAGTGTCATTCTTTCTTGAACAGCTTTACTACTATTTGCTACTGATGTCACAGCTTTGCCAAGCAATGCCATTGTTGTAGTTCTGACAACTTTACTGTTGTCTGCAAGGTTGGGAACCACAGTACAAAAGGATTCAGTCTTCGTAATTTGTCTCCTGTACGTCTAGACAGATGTACAAAGAATTGTTCAGGATTCCATTGTGCAAGTTCCAAAAGAATCTCTCCCTGTGTATTAGTGTAAAAACCAGTTCAGATTCTAACGGTTTGAATGATATAAATATGATGGTCTTATCCTAAACAACTTCCTGCTTACGATGTTTTCTTCCTAGTCTCAGTGAGCATGTTGTTAATACTTTGATAACTTTCTGGATTTTTTTTCTAAACGTTTAGCCTCATTTAGAGGAAAGGGCACTTCTTGGAGTTGAAACTGTATGACACCTGTATTCGTTATCTGTTCTGGCAATGACTTTGCACATTTTGTTTCCACAGAATACCCAAAGTGCGTGTTTTGGAGGATGAAGAAGGCTCTAAAGAGATTGAGCTGTCTGATGACCCTTATGATTGTATTCGACTTAACGTGGTTGATGTACCCTGCATCGTCACACTAAGCAAAGTAAGCCTGACAAATTTCTGACCTTCTATCTAGAGACTTCGGTTTCTATTAACTTCACCTGCCGTTTATTTTTTCCCTAGAGATAAAATCTGTGTTACAGAAATGGTCAGTGTCCACTATGTATATATTTGTTCATCCCTGGCCTCCTAATTAAGAAGAACTTTTACCAAATAAGGTTTTTTTTCCACCTCTGACTTGCAGATTTCCACCATTTAAAATGCATCTTCTTGCATGCAGAATAGTTGTTTTATTATTTTTCACCTACTCCTCGCTCAACATCCAGAGCAGCGGATACTTCAGTATGTTAAAACAAATGGGTATTGTTGTGAGGCACAGAGGCTGTATCTGCCTGGAGTTACACAGCGAGTATTTGTTGCTGGGGACAGAACTCTCTTTTCATGGGTGCAATACTGTCCTTTCCTTTCAAACAGGTTTTTGTTTTCCTTTTCCGTATATAGCCCACAACTAATGCAGTTGATTTGCTGGATGTTGCATTTTCCAGTGCAAGAGTTAGTGATTTGCTTAGTTACCTGGAAGTTTGTCTGACATATCTTTTAAGCAAGCTTCATAAATAGTAGAAGTGGGAGCTCACCTGAGTGTCAGGATGTGTAATTTTGACCTAGCGGGGAGGAAAGTCCATGCTTGGAGTTGAGGGGAAAGGGGAATCTGGGGTTTCATATAGATGAAAGGATGGTCAGAAAGGAAAACAGTGTGAAATAGCAACATGCTTATCTCACCTCTGTTACGTATGCACACATAATTTGGGGTCAGAGGCTGTTTTAAGTACTGTGCTGTCAAGTCAGTCACATGATATTAGGATGGGAGGCTGTAGATAGCCAACAGAGCTACTACTCACAGTTTAACCTCTTAATAAAGAGCTTAGACAACTGCAAACTAATACGTTGTTTTGTCACTAACTTACAGATTGGATATAGGCATGTGGTGGATGCTACCCTTCAGGAAGAAGCCTGTTCTTTGGCCAGCCTGCTTATTTCTGTGACCAGTAAAGGTGCCCTCACTTCTATGAAGAAAGTGGGGAAAGGTAGCCTTGATCCTGAGAGTATTTTTGAAATGATGGAGGTAAGGAGTTTTGAGCAGTTACTGAATGATACTGGATGAACTGGAACTTGAGTATATGAAAAGCTGCAGTAAGGACTTTAGGAGCAGAGATCCTGGTGCCTTTATTAGGTGCACAAGGGACTTGGTGAAGTTCACAGACAGTTCCTTTGAAACAAAATCTAATATGAATGGAAGTTATCTAAAACTTTCAGATGCCTGAAATGTATGGTACTCACCGTTGTTTCAGTCAAGTACCCCACAGCTGTAAGACTGCAAAACTTAAGTTGATAAACCTTGAGAGTATTTTTAGAGAACGTGTTCCCTCTCTCATTGTTTCCCTTAAAGACTGAAAGAGCAAAACTTCTAACATGGTGAAGTCCCTATAGAAGTAGAGATGGTACTTCGAATTGCTAGTGCATGGTGTTCTCTTCTAGCACAATTAATTTGTTTTGTGATAAGCTTACTGTTCTCATTTTACTGTTGTTTTTCTTTGCTCCTTTATTGGGTTTCTGACCTGCCCCTACTCCATGAAAATACTAGTATCTGGATGTTGTTCACATCCACATAAGAATTCCATTTTAAACCTTTCTTCAGGCTCTTCTTAAAACTGTCTTCCAGTGTAAATTCTCATGCCTGGGTTTGGCCTTGAGCATGAGGCAGAACTGAGTTTTGAACTTGGAGTCGGAATGAAAATTAAATACTTCAAACTGGCTCTGTTTCCTAGAGATTCAGAACTAATTTCAGCATGGCTGTAGTGAGAATTGCAGGACTTGGAGCCAAGTTTAAAAACATTTGGTCTCAAGTGGAACTTACACGCTGAGTATATATGGCACTTCACTGTTTCATGATGTCGATCCAGAGTGTTAATATTGGTGGTACTGGCGGGCTTTTTATTTGCATCCAGAGAGGTCGCTTATCCCCCTTACCATCTGTGTAGATCTGCAGAGGGGGGGTATCTCTAACTTGGCATCTTAAAGAAACAAAACTTCCTATGGACATCTGATGTGTCTTCCTTGATGGATTTTGAGTCCAGTTCTAACTAAATGTCATAGAAGACTTGAGATTTTGGGTCTAGGGCTGCTACAAAGAGATGGGTGCTTAAGTTAGATACAGGTTCGTGGTAGAAGCTGGCCCACATGCAAATTATCTGCAGAAAGCTTTGATTGGAGCCTCTATTATGATCACAGATTTCACTCTACATTGAGCCCTAAATAGGAAATGAACTTCTGCAGTTCCATTGTATAGCCTACCCCCAAAGGCTGTGCTTGGGATTATATAAAGCTTATCTAAACACTAATCAGAGATGCATATGGAACGTAGCCATGGGAAATCTTCAAACCGTCCTACTCTGCTTAAGAGCTTTAGTGAACTTGTCCCTACTTGTTGGTGCCAAGGAGTTAAAAGCTTAAGCTGATCACCCAGTGAGTTGTGCTGTCTCTCACTTGCTTTGGAAGAAGTCTTCCCTGCTGGGTGGTGAGCAGTTTGAAGGAGTGAGGGATAAAGCTGATGAGAAGAAACCAACATGTTTTCTGGGAGGTCAGAGATTATTTGTTTGGCCCTGCCTCAAACTCAGCAGCCTGATTAGGATACCAAGAAAAATAAAAAGGCCTGGGAATGTCCAGTGGAGGAGCTGCATAACCCTCGCTTGACACCTCCATTCCCTAGTGATTTAGCTGCAGGTCAGAGTGTGTTCAGCTTTCCCTGCCTGGTAGAGAACAGATGTTCCTAGGACATATCTCTTAGGAAGGCATGGGAAAGTTTTGGGAAGCTGCCAGCATTAGGCTTTTTTTACTGAGTTTATGATCTGATCCATAAGAGAGGCAAGCAGGAATAAAATGGCAACGGTGTTGTGTGTTGTGTCAATACGAAAGCTCTGCACAGTTCCCATTCACTTTGACCTGGTGTGAGTGATAATGTCCTACGTTTGAGGAGAAGAATGTGCAAAGTATATCACCCCTTAGGACTGTAGACTGCTACTGTGATCTTTGTCCCAGTGCAGAGCTGTAACCATTCTTATGTGTGCCCCCCTTTATTTAGCATGAGTCATACTGTCTAGGATTGACAGCTACCTTGCTGCATCAAAGCTCTTTCCAAATTTCCTTTGGTACTATGGGCCATATTCTGTCACCTGGTTCTTCAATTAGAAATGTACCTTATTTTAAGGTTTGTGCGCCCACAGCGTCGGCGGTTGTCATCAGGTGAAAGGGAGCTTTGTGGTCAGCTGTATGTCAGGCATAGGCTTCATTGCATAGATCAGGAGCTAATAAACTCAGTTTAATATAATCTGTCTTTGGCTCTTTAGGGACAGGTGGGCTCTTTTCATCTCTGTATGGAGTCATAGAGAAACCCTGGGAAAGCTCTAATAGGCACCACTGCCTTAAAATCTTTATTGTAGCATTGCCCAATGTTCCCTGTCCTGCAGCTTCCACAGTACAATTGTACATGTGGGAAGAGTAGAGGCTGTATCGGAGCTAATCCTGGTGGTTTTCCACTGCTGGACTTTATTTCTGTAAAGAAAACATTCTGTTAACTCTAAGGTCTCTGGACAGTACAAAATTGCACATCATAATGAAGGATCTGCCCACAGACTGATTTGGTGATGCAGCTGGTGTGCGTTTCGGGCTTCTCTGGCCACATGACAGGGTGTTGAGCTGGTCTAAATTCTGTCTGCTGATTCTGAGCACATTCAGAAGAGTTTACTGAACTTTGTATTAGTAGGCTGCTTTGCTGGTCAGGTACCTCTTGTCCTCTGACAGCTATCATATTGCTTCATAGTGCATGTGCTGGCTAATTTGAATGTGTGCTTGTGCCTGATGTGAATTTAATTTGTATTCCTGGGTGATCCAGCAGTGCACAGATCTGGTGTTAATGATCATGGAATGCTTCTGTGATGAATGGGAGCACTGCCTTTATGTGTACATTTTTGCAAAATGTAGTCAAATTAAAATGAAACTTCCACCATCATTATTTTTCTTAATTAAAAGCATATTTTTATTATACCAGCTGGTATATATTAATCATTAAAGGGAAAATGTTTGTCAAAAGGAAGTGTTCCATGAGACTTGTCTTCCTGTTTATAAGCATATGTCTCAGATTTGTTTTGCTTTCTTTGCATTGCAGACGGGAAAAAGAGTAGGCAAGTCATTGCACATAGCCCTTCAGAAGATTTTGGATGAAGAAGAGAGTTTGGGGACCTCGCGGCAGAAAGTTGGATTTCTAGGATGAGTTTTTATTAAATGCTAATACTGTTTTTAATTGATCGTGCAATCTTGTCAGTTTGTATATAGAAAAATGATGTTTTTTGTTCCAGTACCTTTATCCTTCTAACTAAGAGGCTTTTAAAATGTTACTAAGCATAAAGCTAGCTACAGTTAAATGCGAATAAGCAAATTTGAGATGCTTTCCATATGGGTAGCTGTCTGCACCTAGGAAGCGCACCAGCAGCAACTGATGCAATTGCCTGGGAGGTGCATGAGTCTGTTTTCAAGAGTGACTGGTGTAGATTCCACTTAATTCTGTTTGCGTGTCTTCCACTTCTGCAGACCAGCAGTTGTGTTCTAGAGCGTATATGAGGGTGTCCTCCATACAGCACAAGCCAGGTTTTGGGCCTCTTGAAATCTTTTTTTAATTCACCAGCCAGACGAGAACAGCAATTTGTGGAAGTCTTCCTTCAAATTATCTTGCTTTTCTTTGAATAAAACGTGGATAGATTTTACTATAAATACAACATGGTCCGAAGATTGTAATTCATATTTTAAACCAAGATTTCTTTGTGTACTAGAGCTCTGCCTATCCCTTTTGCCAACAGGTACAATAGTAACCTAGCCAAAACCTCTCATGGTGGCTAAGGAGAAGGGGCATGGCTAAGGTAAAAGGGAAAATAAGTTAATTTTTTAGGAGTTTGATAATTCAGCTGGAAAAGCATAGTGGCTGTCAGTAATGATCCTTTACAGGGAAAGACAGAAGATGGCAGATAAGGTATGCAATCAAGTTGTATCACCAGGTCTTCAAAGCAGTGGATTCCCTCCCTACATCAATTGGCTGGCCCAGCAAAGAGTAAGAGCTGTTTATTTGGCAGAATAGGAAGAGACAACAGATGGAAGAAATCGAAGGAAAAAGTTATTTTCAAGAAGTTGATATTTCAGCTGCAAGTGTTGGAAGGATCCTTTTGGACAAACATTATGGCAAAAGTTACTACAATAGTTCAGGAATCATTTAGCTCTTACTCAAGCGGTGTTTTCTGAATTTCCTGTTTTAATTTCCTAATGTCAGATTAAGAACATTCTGTTGTCTGGAAGGTGTTTTTGGGGAGAAGGGGAAGGTTTTTGCTGAAGAAGAGCTGTAGATGTAGGGCAAAACATACTACAGCTCAAATTAATAATCGTGATCCCATTAAAATATATGGTGTACTTAAGGTCCCCAAATCTCTTCAGTCCTTTTCCTAGAGCTCACTTACATAATTTGCCCAAGATGTCTATTTTGAAGAGGTGGGATTTTTTCAGTACCTTAAGTAATGGGTTATGTAGATTATCATAGTGCTATGTAGTAATACAGGCACGAAGTGACAATGATTAAATATATAATCTTTAATTACTCCAGTAGAGTTATTCTATGTGAGGTAAAGACTAACCTGACATCAGCTTTACAGTAGCTGTGATCCATTCCTTGCCATGCAAAAGTACTTGTAAGAATGTAGAAAGAAAGAAAACTGAAGGGAGAAAAACCATTTACAGTACCTTAGACTTACCACAGGCAGTTTTTGTTTGGTCATGTATTGTTTAATGTTTCAGAAAACGGTTAATCTAAATGAGGATTGCAAGTCTTAAACCACAGCCGTTCTCTGAATAGCTGTTGCCTGTTTTATTACAGATTTGTGGTTGGATACCAAAAGGCTGCCCAGAGTTACTTCCAGGGTGAATTTTGTAACATGGTAATAATAATGTATTTCTACATAGCCTTCCAGCTGAAGGATCTCCAAGCGTTTTGCAAGTTACATCATTTAAGATGCTTCTTGTCCCCTCTCCAGATTCTTTTAATTTTAAATTGATTGTTATGAGAGCTGGGGGTGGGGGGAAAAACCTCACTGTTTCAAGCGTGTTAACTGACACATCTGTGGAGGTGAATATATGTGCATTCCCTCTCCACTTCTTACTAAGGATGGCAAATACTTAGCCCATCTGAGATCTGGGCTATGTGCTGAAGATACCTAAAAAGCAAGGTCTTGCTACCTGAGCATCTGTGTCTGCTGCTAGCACAGGGAAACCTGTGGAGCAACTGTATATACAAAAATGGCTACCCCAATCACAAAATACTTGGTACCAAGCACTTCCTGAGAGTGTAAGTGTAAATTAACGTCATGCAAGTATCTGCACTGCCTCCTCTAACTATGCATGTCCTCCCCCCAGGGCTTCTGTAGCTATGTAAGCAGGCACAGAATGAATTTGGGATCTTCAAGAGGTCCTATTCCTTCCGCACTCGCTACCTCCCGTCTGTTGGCATTGAAAAGCGGTTCGGACCGGGGCTGCTTCTACCCCTGAGATATAAATAATGAGCCCAACCAACAGTATTACAGCTGCTAGTTGGTCTCAGCTGCCCCTGGAGGTTTGCTGCTACCAATTCATATCCCAAATGGATAAACAAAGCGCTCTCAGGGGTAAAAGGGCCTACAGCTCTCCCAGTTGATAAAACATCTGCCAAGAAATATTTGAGACTGTGATTCTCAGGCATGCTAAGGGCTATGCTGCCCATTTCTATTTTCCTAGCTCTCCTTAACCCCTCCCTTCCATCCCTAACAAAAATAGCAGTTAGATTTTTAATAGAGGCTTCAACTGAGACTGCTCCTGTTCCCATCTGGGCTGGTGGAAAGTTCCATGTGTTGCTGTGCAGATATTGCCACGTTTTCATTGACTCGAGTCCAGTAGAACTAAGAGGAAACATCTGTGGAGCGGGATAGCTTTCTGTTTGTCCCAGAAATTAATTGCTTCTGCTGGGAGTGTCAAGAGGCTGAAAACTGTGTACTGGAGTTGAGGAATCTAGCAACTCCTGCTAGGCTTCTACTTGTGTTGCCTAAAATGCACCCAGCTACAATTTACCTTTTTTTTTTTTCTTCCTTCCTTTTTTCCTTCCCCCATGTATCCCAGCCTAAAGGTCTGTTTGACAGGGACAGTCCCCTTGAAGCAGGAGAGGGCAAGGCTGTAGATCAGTGGATCTGGCTGGTTTGCTTCTTGTGTTCCTCCAAATCTGTGTTTACCCTCAGGGTGATGCACAGCAGATTTACCAAGCCCAGGAATCCCATCAGCCAACGTTTCGCAACTACAGTAATGGTTCAACATTGCAATCGTGTAGCTTAGGGAGGAGAGGGGAGCTTGTTCTGCCCCGGGGGCGGGGGTTGAGGCAATGGGGAGGAGAGGGACTATGCCACCTGCAGTTGTGCTTTATGAAAACTTGCTTCAGCACAGCGTGTTGTAAAGACAGGTTAGTGGGAGCCAGAGCTCACTCCTGGCTCCCATGAGACTGGAGTGTGCATGTGTCTTTTTGAGGGACTCGGCACCTTGATTTCACGTATATAATATCTCATGGAGTTTCTGCATTCTCTCTGTAAATAGGAGTTAACTGGGATTTACCACCTTCTGCTAGGACTGCCACCAACTTTTCTGTTAAACTTCAGCAGATGCCACTGCCCTCCTCAGCAGAGGGATGTTCTCCAGCCCTGCTGTGGCACTGGTTTACTTTGCCGGTAGTAAGCAGCCATGGAGCCCCAGAGCAGGGAGAAAAAGTCAGCATGACTTGGTAAGACCTGAGAGGAGAACGCTCCAGTCCTTACCCCAGAGCCTTGTTCCCTCCTTTCCTTTAACATGCTTGAGCAAAGTGCAAGAGCAGGCCTGCAACTGGGACTGACGCTATTCAGCTGTCAGTCTCCATGCTGTTGTTCCTCCCTGCTCCCCAACCCCTCGTCTCCTAGTACACCCTTGCCTGTTTGCACTCCCCGCTGGTGCGAGGCAGCTGTTCCCTCTAAGGCAAAACGTGGGTGCTCCTGTTAGCTGTGCCTCGCAGAGGCAGGTGTCACCTGCCTGCTCTCCCTCCTGTCAGGGGCTGGTTTCAGGCTGGCACTTCAAATGCCTGGTCCCTCGTTCCTTTTCCTTTGGTGAAGCCTCGGACTCCCAGTCATAGTGCTCGGCCACAGCAGGGCACTTTGGTACCCATCTCCCCACAGAGGGACTGCAATGCCTCTTTTTTTCCTTGGATCAGCTGCATTTCTAGCTATCCAGTAACAAAGACCTTTTTGCTGTTCCTGCAAAACAACATTGCTGCTGTTAATGATTCCCTGGTGATGGCTTCAACCTCAACTTCATCGACTGGAACAATTTTTAATAAGGCTATGGTTATCTTATGAGGTCTATGAACATCTCTGTTGCTATCCTGTTCTCAAGATTAGGATCAGTAGCACAGGGACCCCTGAGTTTACACGTTACACCATTTGTAGATCAGATTTGATGTCTCTGATTTAGACTGAGAAATTCATAGTTACTGTGGCCCCTTAGCTAATACCTTGGGAGGGGAAAAAGGAAACAAAAACTCAGCCGCTTTCTGATGTACAGAGGCCCTCCTCCACCCAGTTGGCATGGCGAGGACCGCAGCTGAGCCAGTTGTGCTGGGGTGTTGGAGGTAGTCGGAACCACCAGCCTGCAGGCCCTCCCTTCCAGAGGAGCTCTCTCACCATGCATTCTCGCTGTGTTTTGGCAAACGGTAGGTTTTGGTATTTCCAGGGTTGGAAACCTATGGGTTGAAAAGTCACAATTTAAGTCCTACTTCTCTTCTTTCCCTCCAGAGAGACCAGCTTTAATCTGATGAGGCTTTTCAAGGGCATGGATTTGCTCATGTCTGATCACGCAACCTTTTCTCTGAATTGAAAAAAATAAGAAATTCAGAAATCTGGTGCTGGAATTCTCTTACAATCCCCAATTAAGCATCCGCAGCCATATGAAAGCAAACAATCGCTCAAAGGTGAGAATGACATGCAGCAAGATCATAAGCTGGCAGAACTGCTCTCTGCCTGCCAGTCCTAAAATACTGACTTTAATTTCAATGGTGACTTCAGTTGAGCTGATGCCGAGACAGTCGGTTTCATGCTGCCTGCTCAGCAATCCTACACAATTAGGAATTTCTCCAGAGTTTCGGTGTTAGATTTAGACACTTGACTACGGTTTTCCTTTGACTGGTTGGACTTTGGGACATGGATGATGGGCAGAAAAGCAAAGCAGTGAAGACAGCCAGATTTACCCCTAGCCCACAGGAACTGCATGCTCCAGGCAGAAGCGGGGGCAAGTCCTTTGGTGCAGCTCCTTTTGGAAACAGGAGGATTTTGAGCAACTGATAGCACTTGAATTCAAGTGGACTCCACATTAGGGTCCGGTTTAAGGTCCGAGGCTCTCCTTTAGCACAGATCCTTCTGTCCTGTGACCCTTGGTGAATGTGGGGTAGCGATGTAAACCGTGCTTGCCATGGGATGTGATGGGAAGGCTCCCTCCTTAGGCTCAGAGCCAATTTCCTAAAGTTGGTGCTGGGGATAACGTTTTGGCAAAGTGCTGACTCCTTGGTTTTCCCCATCATTGTCCTTATGAAAACCACCCTTTCCTGAACTATTATCGCATTTCTTCTCGATTGGTCTCAAAAACAATGATCCATAGATTCAGCTCTTTCCATTTTAACCTTTCTGATGTTGTTTATGCTGGTGGAAATCAGGAACGATGCCAGCGCAAGTTTGGGCAGTGGCTAAGTAATATCAGAGATTTTCTTCTGTTAGTCCCACTTCCTCGCAGCATGTTTTTTACTGTCCACCGCTGTTTCTCTGCTATTCCTCTTTGAGGTTACTGCAGTGCCGCTGAGACGCGGATCCTCCCCCTGCAGAGTGGATTCAGTGAAGGCAGCAGAGGTATGAAACCCTGTCTGCTGCCCCAGCCATGGGTCAAGCCACCGAGCTGCACGGCCCCACGTGTAAAGATGCTTTTGGGTCTCCCCTTTGCGCTCCTGCTGTCAGCGCCGGCAGGGGAGGTAGGAGCCTTCCCGGAGGAGGGGGGCTGCAGGCAAAGAGCAAGAATCGTTTGGTGTGGTGGCCTGCCTTTGAACCAGTAACTTAGCCTTGAAAAGCCAGGGCTGGTAATTGCCTATCTTGATAATAACCGTGTGAATACTGTTATCTAGTCCACCCTTCCACTTTCCAGCCATTGTACGGTGGCACTGGCTCATTTCTTGACTTGGCGATACTGCTGATTTCCTAGGAGCCGAATCAAAATAGTCTCTGATCTCGCTGCCCATTTCCTTGCCTAGCTGGGCACAAAATCACAGGTCTGCATCATTGCCAGAAGCATCCAGCTTCCTTTCATGGGCTTATTCCAGCCACTGTTTTGCTAACTGAAAGCCTTCCAAATTCAGCATCGCAGCCTACTTACTGGGTTTCCCAAAGCCACGTAAACTTTTGTGACTGCTTCCCTGTGGCCCTGGGACAGTTTCCGTAAGCATACGTTCTTCTGCCCTCTTTTTTTCTTCTTGAACCAGTTTCCTCACAGCTAACAGGAGCTACTGTCTGTCTGACCAGGAGACCAGGCTTGAAACCAGGGAGTAAAGTGCTTTTACTGGGAAGTAAAATCCGTAATTTTACAGATTTGAAAATCATGGACAAAAACCTGGTTTCTTGGCATAATTATAGCCTTTCTCCTTCTCATTAACCCTTTCATGAATCAGCTGTTGCTCTCTTTTCCCTGGTGCCTGCTCCCTTGCTCTCCGATGGGCTATACGTGCCTAACAAGCCTCCCAGCTGTTGCTCCTCAGCTCTGATGTTTGCTGCTTCCCTTTCAGCCTCGAAGGCGAAGGGTTCGTGTGGCCAAAACCTCACAGCCGTCTTCCAGTTCTATTAGTTCATCTAATAAAAAGGATTACTTCTACCCACCTCCTATGCCTCCCTTACATAAGAAAGTGTGAATCATCAGGATCTCGAAAGCATGATATCTGCCCAAAGAGCCAACTTACAAAGGACCATTGATAGCTCCGTTGTTTAGCTGGAACCGCAGCCTCGGGCTTCAGCAGGAAAAGGTGGGCTCGGTACAGGCAAGGGCCCTCCAGCTTTTAGGTGGCCCTTCCCCATAGCATCCCTGTTCTGGACCTGTTGCAGCAACACTTCAGCTTGCTCCTGTCAGGTGGGTTCTTGAGCTTTTACAGCATCAGGGATTTATGTTTTCAGCCTATGTGAGGCAGAATTGCAGCAAAGCCCTGGGCAAACAGGTGTTACAGCCAGAGACAAGCTTTTTAAGTCTACTACTTTTCATTTTTCTCTTTCTCAAGAAAAATTATAGTGGCATCCAGCACCTGGCTGGATGGCTCAGGGAGAGGCCCCCTTGGTTGCAAACCTTCAGCGTGGGGACCTTCGCGCTCAGAAAGGGGCTAACCAAAAGCTGCCCTGCCCTTCTCGTTTCAGCTGGGGAATTGAAGAAATGCAACACTCTGGTGGGTCCCAGGCACCCAGAAACCTGTGGTTAGGGATCGCCATCAGACTCCACATCAGAGCCATCTGTTTCACGCGCAGCAGCAAAGGGAGCATTTTGGTCTTTTCCCCAGCATGGCAGGACATGAATCAAAGCGAAGACAGGCGAGCAAATCTGCAGCCAAGGAAAACTGGGAGGTAGTGAGTTACCAAAAGTGCTTTGGATAGGTCAATGCTACTCAAGTGTCAAGAGAAGGGAACATATATGTGTATGTAGGTGGCTGGCATCTCTTGGGCTCCATCCCATTTTGGGATAGTCCTGGCAGGAGAACAGTAAATCCCACAAATATATATTCTCTGGCTTAAATCAGAGTGGGGCCGTGTGTGTGGTAAAGGGGAGCGAAAATCAAACGCGTTCTTCCTTGGCTTCAAAAGTCTGGACTGCAAAGAAGCTCTATTTCAAAGTAGCACATAAGGGCAGGGTTTTCCTTATTCAGCCAAAGTGCGAGGCAGGATAACACAGTTACGGCCAAACTAAATCAACGCAGCTCTTTTTCCAGCCACACCCCTGTTTAACTCGGACCTTTTATGCTCCTACGACTCCAGTGGTTCACATTGTGCTGGGTGGAATCTTGCCTTAATTTTTCAGAAAAGATTTAAGGTTAATGGCTGATGCCCGGAGTGCTTTGTTCTTCAAAATGCCTGTCTATCCTCTCCTCTCTCTACATGAATTTCCTCCACTTGCTCAAAGGTTCCTGTTCCTCCTGCAGGAAAGACTCACCCGCTTCTGCTGCAGCCGCTGAACAACCCCAGCACCCAAAAAATGAGGCAGTGGTCTTGGTTTAGACTGCAGGGCTGCTCTTGGAGCAGCTGGGCTGCGCTGAAGTCAGGCTGGGACCCTGTGAGGGGGACTCGGGGAGAATGGCTTTTTGTGGGACGTGTTCCCACCATCCCAAGTCCAGCTCATCGCAGTTGTCTATTACAGCTCTGGAGTATTTAGAAGCCTGAACATTCCCCAAACTGAATGAAGACCCAAATTCCTAAGTATATTTGGTTGCCTAACCACTTGGGTGGCCCCAGGGAAGACCCACCATGTACTCAGCCTGACTTCAGGGCAGGGGGGTGTGAAGCATCAACCAGCTTTTCAGAGCCACCATGCTTCATGAAGCGTCTCAGTGCTTTGACAGACCTGGCCATGAGATACTTCGGATTATCAACCCTGGCACGTGCTGCGTTTCTTAAATGCAAAGAGCACCTGTAGATTTTGACTCTCAAAGGCGTGAGTACTGCCAGAGGAGGAAGGGAAGTGGTCTAGCGCCAGGCAGATGCAATGCACTTGGTATGGAGAAGGAGCAGCCTTCCTCTTGGTGGGACACCTGCAGTAGCAGGTTGAACATCTTCCCAGCTTTCTTCAGCCGTGCTTTTGCCCAGGCCTGCTGAAACACAGATCACTTTTGGGACAAAGGTGTAGAGGCTGAGATCTTCCCTTCCCCCTGCCCAGGGGGGTGGGGCAGAGCCGAAACACCTCCAGCTCCCAGCCAGGACAATGGAAAGGGTTAAAGAGCAACACAACGAGCAGCCCTCCAGTTTGGTTAAAACCTCTGGAGCTGTTGTTTGGTTTCCTATCCTGCAGAACAGAAAGCCATTTTGGAAAACGAAAAGTACGTGAAGCCACTGCGTGGTCTGGTGGTGGGAATGCGTTTGCCACCCAAGGAGTCTTGCTAACCTGGATGGTGCCAAGTGGGCACCTCCGAGGTCTCAGTTTGATGCTGCTGCCGGGCAGCTGCACAGCACTGATCACTCCTGTCCTTGCAAAATTGCCATAGGGGTAGGGGACAGTATGGCCAACGCAGCTGTCCTCACCCCCGAGGATGGGACTTGCCATGAGGAGAGTGGTTTACGCTGGAACTGCCCCAGAACTGGCAATTCGAGCCAGGGCTTGGAGCCACTCTCCATCACCAGCCATCAGTGCAAGGAAAAGGGGGGGCAAATGCCAGGTCAGCCCCTACTGCCCCCAAGCCCCAGGCAGGTTCCGCAGCTGAGGGGGTGTCACCAAGCCGCCCTGCATGGGCACGGACCGAAGCCTTATCCTGCAATGTAAATTTGGGAGCTGGGCAAGAGCAAAGGCACAGCCACACACACCACAGGGCTCCTGTGCACAGCACCCCCCTTTTGGAGGGAGGAGGTGTCCCAAAAATAGAGGTCCAAACCTATTGTGTAGGAAGCTGCCCTCAGATTGTGGCTAAGAACAGAAATTCCCACCAGGGCAGAGGGGAGAAAGCAGCTGGCTCTCATGGGATGGCTCTGCCCACAGCAGGCAGGGCTGCCCAGCACCTGCCTCCTGTCCCCGCAGGGAGGGTCACCCTCCAGAGGGGACCCCATGCAGAGCTGGGAAGAGGTGGGCATGAAGTGCCAGTCTCATCTGTCATGGAGAGGCAGTGATGGCAGGACGACCCTGCCGAGGCCACGGTGGAGCTGGTTTTTTGAGGTGTAAGAGCTATCGTCCGCTTTGAGCAAGGACTACTCTAGAAAAAAAAACCCTCTGCCCACCTCCCGCTGCACCTCCCGCTGCAGCTGCACTTGGGCTGGGGGATTGCAGCAGCCCCCCAGCAGTGGGGATAAACCAGAAATCTCCGTGCAGGGCCTTGCATCACGCCATGGCGGGGGCCGGGGTGCTCAGGCCCCCCGCGTGCTCCCTCCATTGCTGCCGGTGCTCGCAGCATCCCTCGCGGGCAGCCCCGCAGAGGGGCCTCCCGGGCAGGCTGGCCCCTCTCTATTCCCTTGCCCACCCAAACTCCGTTTCACACCTCACATCATCGTTGCCATCGCTGACACATGAGATCAAACCTGTGGCATTTTGCTAAAATCCATAGGAAATCATTCCACAGCCTTTCTTTATGTTTAGCTTCGCAGACTTTCAATAGATTCATTCCCTTTTGTTTTTTTTAAAAACAAAAACAAGCAGCATGCTAAGAAACGCAAACCCGCTGGGATGTTTTCAGCCTTGGCCGGAGCCGCCTGAGCCCCCCTGGGGCCGGGAGGCTGCCTCTGGCCGGGGCTCAGCGGGCGGCTTTCTGGGACAGCCATTTCTGATTCAAGCCGGTGTTAAGCCGGCTGTCTGAGGGTAGAGCAGAGCCGCTCCACCTCCGCGCGGCGCCGGACAGCAGCGGCATGGCGCTCCGGGGAGCCTGCCTGCTCCTCTGCCTCCTCTCCCTCGCCCAGGTCTCCGGCCAGCAAAACGCCAAAGTCCGGCAAAAGCCGGTGGCTTCCAAGAAAGGTAAGGAGCGGCGGCACCTTCCCAGCAAGGAAACCTGGTGGGGCTTGGGGGGGATGCAATCACCCCGGTCATTTGGGCATTTAACAGTGCTTTAATGAAACTTTTTAAAAAGCATCTAAAACCCTAATAAAGTCTATTTTTTCCCTCCCTGTGGGAACGATTGCATAGCCCTTCTGTAAAATACCAAGGAAATTGAAACGTTTCTGGTGGGCTCCTACCTTGAATAAATCTGATGGGACAGCTTGGTCTGAACTTCGGAGGGCAAGGTATTTTCCGTGTTCTCTCCAACGTTGCCCCAAACTTTTCCTCTGCTAAAATCTCCCTTTTTATGACCCCTACCCCTCCTCATTCATTTTTCAGAAGCAAATAAGAGGCAGATGACAGACTCCTGTTGCAGATTTGGAGACTAGAGTAGGGAGATAATGTATAATCCGTTAAATATCAACATGGTTCTTCATTCTAAAACACTTGCCCCGGGTGTATGTCAAGCCGTAAATGAGCTTTAACTACTCAGGCTTACCAGAGGGCAATGCACAAAAAAAGATGCCTAAGTTTACTTTTCCCTAGCGTTTTTTTTTTTCCTTTTCTTCTCTTTTTTTGCTACTGTCCCATCCTTTTTCCCTCTGACTCAATGCACATTAATTACAGGAGAAGGCAGGTAAGGAAGCAGCTTGTGTTGCAGCCCAGCGGCGTGTGAGCCTGCCTGCCTGGTGTGTCCGACTGCAGTCGCGTGGGCTTGGACCACTTCTGGCGGGGGAGCGAGGAAAAAGCGTCCCAGGAATTCGCTTGGCCAGGCTGCTCTCTGCACTATTTTCGTCTGATCCCATCCTTGAGAAATTTTTCCTTTTTCTCCCATTAGATCTTTCTATGAAATCACTGCATAGCTGCTTGTTCCATGTCTGTGGCTGTTTTCTAGAGCAAAAATACCTCCTTGGGCTGGTACGGGGCACATAACGTGCGTTGCACTTACTGGATGTACCAGCAGAAAGAAGTTAGTTTCTTAGAGAAATCTTATTTTTCTCTCCATGTCATTGGAACTGCTGTTTGTAACCCATTAGTGACAAGCAGGTGGTGGGAGAAAAGTCAGATGGTGGGAGAAAATCACCTTTTTGACAGGAAAATTGGGCTCCAATTTAAACACAGTTTTCAGAGAAGAAGGGGCAACATTTTTTTCTGAAAATCGAGCCATCTGAAACAGCTGGTGGCAATTTTTCCTGAGAGCTTTGGGGTTTCTTTTCAAAGGAGAGGTCAAGTTTTCTTTGGGGAAAAGAAAAAAAAAAAAACCAACCCAAAACACCCTAGCCCAGCTGGGTCCAGCCCTGTGGCGGGTTGGCTGCCCTGCCTTTACTGGAAACTTCCAGCATTTCTTGGTTAACTTTTTTTTCTGATTTTTACCAATGCCAGGGGGTGGGGAAAGAGGGAGGAAAGCACTAAAAATCCCCCGCAAGGCTCCTCTTTGCCCTCAGCGCCTCGCCATGTCCAAGCCTGCCTGCCCTCCCGCCATCCCCATCGCATCCCCATCCCGGGTCCCCAGTGCCCCCCAGTCCCGGCTCACCCCCTGCCC